TTGGCTTTAAAATGGGCATGGGAAACGTGGTGCCACACTTGTGTGTGCCACGCCTAAGATCCTGGTGACTCTGGAGGCTGTAGCAGGAACATCACGAGTTCAAAAGCAGCCTGGACAACTTAATGAAACCCTGTCTCAAAAATAAAAACTAAGCCGGGTGCAGTGGCACAAGCCTTGTAATCCTAGCAGCTCAGTAGGCTGAGGCAGGAGGATTGCAAGTTCAAAGCCAGCCTCAGCAACTTAGTGAGGCTCTAAGCAACTCAGTGAGACCCTGTCTTTAAATAATATAAAAAAGGTCTGGGGATGTGGCTCAGTGGTTAAGCACCCCTGGGTTCAATCCCTGGTACAAAAAAAAACAAAACCTAAGAAGGGGTAGGGAGGTCCATGCTAGAGCACCCCTGGGTGCAATCCATAGTACCATCAAAAAATCAAAAGGAAAAAAAAAAAGGGCATCAGAACGGGACTATTGACAGCAGGAAGCCCTAACAAGTACCCTCAAAGCCATCCAAAAGGCTAACTGCAATTTACAGAGAGGAAACGTGTTTCTTTAAATAGAGGACTTTGAAAGGCTGGTAAACTGAAATCAAAGGGGATTTAATTTCTAGAAAAAATGCAAAGAGCTGGATTTGATTCCTCCCCCCAAAACACAAAACAAAACTGGGTTGGACCTCATATATGCTCACTGCATGCAGAAATGCATAAAGATATAAATACTTTAGAGACCAAGATTGAAGATGACCCAGCAATCCCACATCTAGGTACACGTCCTAGGTGTAAGACCTAGAGAAATTCCTGCTCCTATGCTCAGAAGACATCCACAACTAAGTTCATAGTAATAAACCCTGCTGGTATTAAGCGGGAAAGCAGAGAGAAATGGAAGCAAACAGAAGTGCATGGCCATCAGAATGTGTGCTGCTCACAAGTGGAATATGACAGAGCTGGAGAGGAAAGGAGCCTCAAAGACAGAGTTCACAGACATCAAGCTGTGCAAAACACCTGGAGCAAAGCCAGATGTGGTGGTGCACACCAGCAGAGTCAGGCTCAAGACCAGCCTCAAAAAATTTAAAAAGGGCCAGGGATGTGCCCCTGGAGTCAATCCCTGGTACCAAAATTAAGGGGAGCCTGGGTATATATAGCTCAGTGGTAAAGCACCTCTGGGTTCAATCCCTAGTACCTCCAAAAAAAAAAAAATTGTAACAGAAATTTACCAACAATAGGATGTCATTCATATAAAGTTCAAAAAAACTGTTAAAAACCTTTTTTTTTTTTTTTTTTTTTTTTTTTTAAGAAAAACATAGGGGGCTGGGGTTGTGGTTCAGTGGTAGGATGCTTGCCTATTATGTGTGAGGCGCTGGGTTCAATTCTCAGCACCGTGTATAAATAAATAAAATAAAGGTCCTTTGAAAACTAAAAAATATTAAACAAAAAGAAAAGCATAGGACATGGTGGCGTGCACCTATGACCCCAGCACCTTGGAAGGGTTCTGGCAGGAAGATTGCAAGTCCAAATACATCCTCAGCAACTTAGAAGACCCTGTCTCAAAATAAAAAACAAAACAAAAACAAACCATAAAGTTACTTCTGGAGCCACAGAACACAAGGAATCTTAATAGACTGTTAGTGTTCCATTTCTGAGCTGGAGGTAAGAACATGACATATTTATTTAGCAGTGCTGGGGATACAAACCAGGGCCTCAAGCATGCTAGATGGTGTTCTCCAACTGAGCCACATTCCAGCCTGAGTATACACAAATTTATATTCACTTTATGCCATCTCTGGTGTATATGAAATACTTAGGGATGAACAAAAACCTCTTGGATGTTTTTTGTTGCTGGGGAATTGAACCCAGAACCTTTTGTATATTGAGCATATACTTTACCACTGAGCTATATACCTGGACCCCTCTTGATCTCTGATGAGGACTGATCATCCTTCAAGATCCTCCCCTGGGAGCCTTCTGCATTCATATAGTATCTTAGCTCTCTGAGAGCCCCTCATCCTTCCCTGATTTTGCTGTCTGACTAGAGACCCTCTTTCATCAAGAGGTATTTCTCAGCTGACCATGGGTTTTCACATAAATACTACGGATACTGGAATCAGTAATAGACTGCTGCAGATACACATTCCTTCAATCTTGGGATCCAATTACAAATATATTGCAGAACTTCAAGATGTGGTATTCCAAAACTGGGCATGTAGCTCAGTGTTAGAGTGCTTGCCCAGCTTGTGTAAAACCCTGGATTCAATCCCCAGCCACACACACACACACACACACACACACACACAATGGCATTCCAATAGCCTTGCACATTCATTCCCCCTCCTTGCACACCAGCTATATGAATGCCTTTGAAAAGTAAAAAAATTGCTCAACAATTTCAGGAAAGTGAAAAGTAACAACTAAATGCCTGTAACAAGGTAAATAGCCTGGTGCTGACTGTTGGCAAATATGAACCCATGGCCTGTAATGGAAGTCCCAGGAGCTGTGAAGATGAAGAGGGCATTTGGCAGCCTGTGGATTTTGGAAATGGTTTGAGAACATCTCTACCAATCATTAACATTTGAGGTGTAACTTGAGGTCAAAGTGCTGGCCCAGAATGCTGCGTGGAGGCCTCCAAGAACGTTGAAACAGCAGCTGTCTGAGATCATGTTCTGCATTTAATTTCTTCCTAGATTCACCAGTTCTGGCCAGACATCAGTTACAAGAGCCCTGTTGGTCTATCTTTATCTAACCATTTTAATGTAAAATAAAAAAAGATTGTTTGGAGCATTTTCAGGACCACACCTTAAAATTGCTCTGAAAAGAAGATCTGTCTGATTTCCTAAGGCTTACAACTCGATTTAGTTGCTGAGTCATGGGGCTGGTTTTATGCAGCCAAAAACTCCAGTGTATTGCTGGTGAAATCAAAAACTGTTTGCAAAATTCATAACATTCTTTAATGAAACATTTTAGTTTCCTGTTGCTTCTTAATCAGGAGCAAATGCCATGGACTTCATAGCCCTTCACTTTTGCCCAATGCTATGGAAACACTGGCCAGGAGCTCCAAGGACCACAATGCTAGAGGTTGAAGAGGAAATGCAGCTTTTGTAGCTGACCAGAAGGTACAATAAATTTATTTGAGCCCCTTTATGGAAGGCAATATGAAAATAGGGAGGTGCATGACATTGCTTTAGCTCTCAGATTTAGACCTGAGAAAACACAAAAATGATCATAATAGAAAATGATCCTTGGGGGCTGGGATTGTGGCTCAGCGGTAGAGTGCTTGCCTAGCACGGGTGGGACCTGGATTCCGGTTCGATCCTCAGCACCACATAAAAGGCATTGTGTTGTGTCCATCTACATCTAAAAAATAAATATTAAAAAAAAGAAAATGATCCTTGGGCTGGGGATATAGCTCAGATGGTAGAGTGCTTCTCTTGCATACACAAGGCCCTGGGTTCAATCCCCAGCACCACAAAAATAAATAAATAAATAAAAAGAAAATGATCCTTGGGGTGGAGTGTGTGAATAGCAGAGCTGATTTAAAAAAAAAAATTTATTTTTTTAGTTGTAAATGAACACAATACCTTTATTTATTTTTATGTGGTGCTAAGGATCAAACCTAGTACCTCACTTGTGTAAGGCAAGCGTTCTACCACTGAGCCACAACCCTAGCCCCCACAGAGCTGATTTTTAATAGTTATCAGGTTTATGTGTATGCTAGTTACTGGGAATTGAACTGAGGGGCACTTTACCACTGAGTTACCATTTCCAGCCCTTTTTTTGAAATGTTGAAAGAGTCTCTGCTAAGTCACCCAGGGTGGTCTCAAATTTGGGTCCTCCTACTTCCACTTCCCAAATTGCTGGAATCACAGGTATGTGCCAATTAGCTCTATCAGTTCTTTCTTGATTGGAAAGATAAAAATGACCCCACCCAATACTTCCTGTTTTTCATTTGCCAAACCACCATGGAATATTACTTGTCTTGAACCTTCTGGCCTATTCAATCCCAAGTCATTATATGTATGTTCACAAGTAAATCTGATCTAATGCCCGGGGGGTGGGGAGGATGAGGGGATATGAAATTTCCTTTTAAAATGCAACATTAGCCGGGCACACCTGTAACCCCAGAGGCCTGGAGGCTGAGACAGAAGGATGTGAGTTCAAAGCCAGCCTCCGCAATGGAGATGCTAAGAAACTCAGTGAGACCCTGTCTCTGAATAAAATACAAAATAGGATTGGGGATGTAGATCAGTTGGTCGAGTGCCCCTGAGTTCAATTCCAGGCACCAAAGAAAAGAAAAATCATTAGAAAGGGCTGAGAGCTAGCTGAGAGATAAAGTTTGTGCCTACATGCCTGAGGCCCTGGGTTCAAGCCGCAGCAACAACAAAAAGTCTGAGTTGCGGGCTGGGGTTGTTGTTCAGTGGTAAAATGCTTGCCCAGCATGTGTGAGGCTCTGGATTCCATTCTCAGCACCGCATATAAATAAATGAACAAAGGTTCAACAACTAAAATATACATATATGTAAATAAAATTGAGTAACAACAAGGGAAAGTGAATCTGCCTTTGGCTACCTTGGCTTGAGACTCGCGTCTAAACCGGGGAGCAAGGACAAAGAGACGGGGTCACCTTGGCGGGTGGCTAGCGGCAGCCAGGCCCCGCAGCGAGGCACGCAGGCGCACGTGGCCCGCGGGCCCCTCGCGAGAGTGGAGCGCGGGCGCAGCCGCTCAACGTCTGGACCCCGCGGGCTTCTCCAAAACCTCGTGGCCACACTGAGGCAGCAGAAGGGCCGGGCCAAGAAGGTCGTCACCAAGGTCGTGGGCCGGACGTGTAGTGCCAGAGCGACGCCGAGTGCGTGCAGGACTCGGAGTACGTGCCGGAGCCCCAAGTCCTAATGCCGGCCGCGCCGCCACGCCCCTCCCCGGGGCCCCGGCTGCGCCGGCCCCCGCTCGGCTCAGGGGGTCCCAACGCAGGGGGCTCACCCAAACCCCGCCACAGACGCTAGGGACCCAGGGCCTACCATGTCCTCCAGCCCCACGTCCCGGGTCGTCGCCCCCCCCTATTTTCTGGCCGCGGCGGCAGCCGCAGTCCCACCCCTTCCCGGGAGGCGAGGACCAGAGTGGCGGCGCGCCTGGCCAATGGCGAGGCGACGGTGAGGGGGCGTCCCCCGGAGGCGGGAAGGGGCGGGGCCTCTGGGGCTGCGTAGGAAGTCGGGGCGGTGGCGCAGAGAGCAGGTCGCGGACTCCGGGCGCAGGTACCTCTCCGGCTTAACGCTCTTCTCGGTGTCTGCAGCACCCTCCGCTTCTTTCCTTGCAGACGAGATCCAGCAGCCAGGTAGGGGCCCTTGGGAGGAGCTGCAGTGTAGGCGGCGCGGGGTTTCCAGCTTCGGGGGCGGGCGTCATCAGAGGCGGCGGGCTTAGCTCGCGGGGCGGTGGGCACGTGCAGGCTCCCGGCCCCGGCGGGGAACGGCGGGGCCGGGCGGGGCGGGAGGCTGGGGTGCGGCGGCGGGCGCACCTGTGGGACGCGGGCTTCTCTGCGTGGGGGAGGGTGCGGGTCAGCGAGTGATCGCGGGGCGGGCTAACTGGGCCCGGAAAGTCCGCAGCGCACGCGACCCACGCGTGGCGGGGAACTGGAGGGCGCTTCTCCATCAGTAGCCGAGTGCAAGGTTCGCGGGAGGGAGAGACCTGGCCCGGGTGCGCGTTCCAGCCGGGCTCTAACCAAAGTGGAGGGAGGGGCAGGACCCGAAGAAAGGCCCGGGACGTGCCCTTCCTCCCCTCCCCCCGCGGCGGCCCCGCGCCCTCCGCGCCTCGCGGTCTGCAGCCCAGCATCTTGGTGGCCACCCCGTCGCTGCTCCGCTACAACGGCGGGCGGTATTTCTTAGGTGCTTGAGGAAGCTGCAGCAGAGACGTTGGATAATTGGGAAGTCCTTCAGCGGACCTCGCCCAAGTTGGGCAAGAGCTTCCTGGCCACCCTCGGGCCCTGCTCAGACTTAGAAAGGATGCTTTTAAGAAAGCTTCCTGCTCCCTGTGGCCTCCACGTGGTCTTCTTCCGTCGGGGTCCACTTGTGCTGCCCCCTGGCTGGGAGTTAAATCCAAGCAGCTAAAAAGGATATGTCGCCTTTTCCTTTCACATCATGAAATTATTTCATCTTACATCGATAAAATGAATCCAAATGATGAGGTACTGAAATAAAGATGTGCTTAAACGTGCACCCAAAATCTACAGTGTAAATGTGGATGCTGAATTGTTATGCAGATTCATAATTTGCCAAACTCAAAGTTAACTAGAAATTTAAAGAATATCCAAATAAGTGCCTTTTTGGAATATGGATTAACTTTAACTTGTCTAGTGAACAGAAATCCATTGTTGCACCCACAACAAAACCACAAAAGTGGGTTCCTAATCTAATTCTAAAGTTTAAAAGAAAAAATGCCCCTCTCTCCTCAGAACCCTTCAGAGATGTCGGTGGGGAGTCCAGCTAGATAATGGCTCCTGAACACTAATCTGGTTCCTCTTGTCCACTTCAGTTTTACAGATTGTTGGATTAGTTTCTTTTTTGGTGAGCCCCAAAGGAAAAAAGTAAGAAAAGGCATTCTTTTAGGACTTTCATTATTATTTTAAAGATGTTTTCAAAGAAGGCTTCATCCCTTGGTGTTCACAGAACCTTTCCTCTTTTTACAAATCAAAACATTCACAGTTAAGTTTTTGAGAGGAGATGATATCTCCTATTTTGCTAAAGACCCAATACTGCGAAATCTGAAAGTCCCAGAAAGTGACAAGAGCAGTTTTTCCTGGCCTCCACACTCAATATTTCTAATTCTCAAATTTCTACTAATTCAACCTCCTACTGTTACTTCAATTTTAATTTAATAAACCATGCCCTAAATTTTTCATTCTCCGTTACACTACAAACCAGATTCCCTCCTGCCTCCCTCTTGGCATTATCCTAGAAGGTTTTGCTTGTGACCTTCATGTCCCTCCTTCCTAGCTATTTGTTCTTGGTCCCTTTCCTTTCCCAGGCCAACCCTCATTGTTAACTGATGACAGTGACCCATTTCAGAGACATTCTGCATGCCAGCACACATTAATCTTAACAGTTGGATTTATTTCTCTCTGGTGCACACATTCTTGGGTTTCAGTTTTTGCTCCCTCCTCCTCCATTTGTTTAGTGCTGGGGATTGAACCAGGGTCTGCTTGTGCTGAGTGACATGTGAGGCTACCCCATTCTCCAGCTTTTCTTTTTTGCCAGTGCTGGGGATCAAGCCCAGGGCCTAGAACAGTGAAGGCAAGTGCTCCACCACTGAGCTGCACCCATAGACCTCTGACTTATTTTTGAGGAGCAGTTCCCACTGCTTTCCAGCAGGATTGTCTCCACTAAGCAATGTTCATACATCCAGTGTTTTGTCCAGTGCAGACCCTTCTGGTCCAGGAGCCCTCAGAACCTTTAAATGAATGAGCAAATGTTGCATTGTGTTTTATGTAAAATATGGATTGTGTTTCCCCACAGAGATTCACCATGTCTATTCTGAAGATCCATGCCAGGGAGATCTTTGACTCTCGTGGGAATCCCACTGTTGAAGTGGACCTCTACACCTCAAAAGGTATGTGCCACCTTTCTTTCCTTACTTCCTTCTACCATGCTTTATTTAAAAATCTGCCTTATGATGGCAATGATGAGCCTGTTAATGCTGCAGCTTTTCTCACTGGTCTGCACGTGTATGTGCTAGACACATTCCTGAAGCATCAGGGGATTGTAAGGCAAGAAGTCCTGGTCTTTTAAATTTTTCATTTTGAGACAGGGTCTCACTAAGTTGCCCAGACTGGCCTAAAGCTGCAATCCTTCTGCCTTGGCTTCCTCACCACATTCAGTGCTTCTTAATATTAAAGCAAATTCTTGCTGGATGCAAGGTCAGTGGTGCCTTGAGACCTTGTCCCTAAAAGGTCCCATCACTTGCTGTTGGCTGCACAGCTCACTGTGACCAAATAAGCAGATTGAGTGTGATTTGGTGATCTCTCCTTGAGAGGCTAAAGGGGAGGGGTGTGTCTGTCCATTGCTCTTGAGCCCCCGGTCAGGGACAATTCAGAGGCTCTTATTGTCACCTGGCTGTAAGTCCCCCTGGGAAGTTTTCCCATGTAAAGAAAGCATTGACATGGGGACTCCTAAAAACTTCCACTTCAGGAATAAAATCCAGTGCTTCTCTGTAGCCCTGTGTCACCTCCACCAGTGTCCTGGCTGCTTTATACATGACATGGATGTGGTGGGTGTGGTTGGAAGAGCCTCAGGCAACGTCTCACTTAGCAATGCAGAGCTCACCAGGGCCTGCCAGTCAGAGCTGAGTCACAAGCCTGGAACTGGAACCCAGTCCTTCCCTTCCTGTCTTCCCCCAGCGCCTCCCAACACGGAGGATTCTGGAGTCTCATTTCATTCCCCAAGAGCCTGTGGTGGGCAGTCTGGTTTCTTTTAGGCATGTGCTCTGTGGGGAAGACCCAGGGTTCTTGTAGGATGCTATGAATAGTCTTTCTTGAGATACCTGGCTCATTCAGCAGGTGGAACTTTCCACTTGGAAATTGGTTGACTTTAAAAAGACGCCAAGCCCTGGAAGACTGTTGGGAGAGGGCATCTTTTAAAAAACACGGGATGATGGGGTTTTTTTTTTTTTTTTAATATTTATTTTTTCAGTTCTTGGTGGTGCTGAGGATCGAACCTGGGCTGCACGCATGCCAGGCGAGCACGCTACCATTTGAGAGATGATAGATTTAGGAGTTCCCACCCACCTTTCTTTTTTTCTGACATATTTGGAGCTTCTTTAAATTCATAGCAAAATGTAAGCGCTGCCCCACCCAAACACTCAGGGCCCCCCCAACCACCACCCACTATCAGCATTCCCCACCAGAGTGGTGCTTTGTTTCAGTCGGTGAGCCCACTTCACTGTGCCCTCACCCAGACTCCATGGACTCCATTCACTCTTGCTTTCTTCTTCCCTGATCAGTGGCAGGTGGGTTGTGACCTGGCTGTGTCCTGCTGATCAGTCAGTCATTGCAGATCACCAGGTTTAAACTCTGGTGGTGTGTGTTTGTTTTTCCCTTGTCACCCATTTGCCTGCATGTCCCCACACCTCGCCAGCCCCTTGCAGCCCTCAGATGGGGGATTCCTTACAACTTGAGAAAGTCCAGAGGTGGCCATCCCTGTGCCTCTCCAGGAAGAGCCTGGGGGCTGGTTTCTGTAGTTGCAAGATTGTGGTTCAGTGTTACCTGGTGTTTCTGAACTAGTACCTTTTATTGTCTTTTGTTCCTTCTTTTCCCCAGTCCACCCTAATTTCCAGTTTCCTGTTGGGCAGAGAACCCCAAAATAGCATTGATCCCGGTCCAAACTGAAACAAATGAGCCATAGAACATCTTCCATTCCCTTCCTGGCTCCAGTTCTGTTTTTGTTGGGCAGAGCTTCCAGTGGCCGACACACCAGCTGTAGGCTTGTTAGAGATGCAGGCCTTTGACTTCCTCCTGTGTCTGCATTTGCCTATGTGCACATTCAGGTCTGAGGAGCTCCTGTGGTTTGCGGTAGGGGCTGCCCAGACGGTAGAAGGAAATAACAGTGCAGTGTTTCCCAGTGACAGATGCTGCCCGTGAGTAGGAAGGAACTTGGACTTGTGTTCTTGCTCTGTTTCTTAATTACAATATATTTTTTTCCTTTCCTCCAGGTCTCTTTAGAGCTGCTGTGCCCAGTGGGGCCTCAACTGGTATCTATGAGGCCCTAGAGCTCCGGGACAATGACAAAACTCGCTACATGGGGAAGGGTAAGGCTTGGAGCCCACACCTACCTCTGCAGTGAGTCTGAGCTAGCTTCCTGTCCCTAGCCCCCTCCTGCCCTTTCCCAAACCCACCCCTTCTCCCTGTTTTGAGGGGTAATGAGTAGTATATCCCCTCTATAGTCAGAATAAGCACTGTGCCAGCATATGGGAGAGCCAGCAGAGCTGGCTTATTGGTTTTGGGGTTCCCAAGCCTGGGAATTTGGGCCAGGAGTTTTAGTGCTTCTGTCTATTTATTGCTCTTCTCTC